GTCCTTTCCTAACTCCCTACTCAGGCCAAGGCCCCTCCCCAGAAGAATCTTGGAGTCCCCATCCCCTCTAGGACTCCACCCCCTCGCTCCCACCCCCAACCCCTCCTCCTGCTGGACGAGCTGAGTCAAGCACAGGTGAGTCAGGACTTTCCCATCTCACACTTCCCCCAACTTTGCCCCTGAGGAGTCTGCCCCAGCTCCCAGAGACCCCCCTCCTCCTCCACCCAGAAGAGACTTGGAAGGCCCTGGGGATGGGAGGCAAGGAGGCTGATTTCTGGTGGGTGCAGTTTTTAAGCAAACAGACTGAAGGGGGCTTCCCAGCACCAGGCCAGAAGCCCTTGAGATGGGGGAAGGGAAAGGGATGGAGCTTTGGGAACACACTACTGTGGGGGTAGGGTGGGGAGTGGTGACATGTGCTTACAAACAGGGAGCAGGTGCCAGTCACCTGAGTGAAAGGCCAGGAGCAGACCCACGAGAACGGAGCAGGAGCCTGGGGGGCTGCTGAGACAAAGCCTGCCTGAGATCTTCTGCTCTCCTGGTGCAACTTGGGGGAGGGGTGGGGCAGTGACCTAAAGGTTACAGTGGACCTGACCTCAGCTGGGGGAGGAAGATCAGGAAGGCTTCAATAGATGCCCAGGGCCTCCAGGTGGGACATGCCAGCTCCCTACTCAACACAGAACTGCCACAGGCACAAAACACACACCAGTGGCAACCTGCCTATTTCCAGCTGCCCCCACCTTGAGAACCTCTGCTGGGTTTGCCAGTGTCTTGCCTAGCTCAAAACCCACCCCAAAGAAGCCTTAAGAACAGAGTTGGAGGGACCGTGCTTCTACATGCAGTGGGCAGACACCTCCAGAGGAAATGCTAGGAGCCTCTGTGGTGGCTGAAAGGACAGGAACCTGCTGGAAGTATCAGGGGTGGGATCCTTGGCCACTGACTCAGGGAGAGGCAGCCCCCAAGACAACAAGGTCCTAAGGCCCCTTTCTCCTGGGTGTCAGGACTCCTTGGTCCCTAGAAGCTCTCCTCTACCACCCAGGTCACTTCCTCTTCCTGAGGTGGTGACTCAGCCGGGTGGGGAGGTCAAGGATTCATAGCGTAGCAGGAAATCTGCTCAAGAACCAAGGTATCGCTCTGGGACCCTCTGTGTGGGGACTTCCAGGCTTGGGGGGCCTTCCCCTCACCCAGGTCCCTAGCAGCTCTCCCCACTTCCCCCCACCTCCTGCCAAAGGAGACCATGCAAATTAACCATTTTTGTCTGGGAGTTTCCAGTCCACCCCACCTGCAGCCCCAGGGTAATGTCAGGTAACCCCAACCCCGCTGGGACATGGAAACTCCTGGCCCCAGACCTTCCAGTCTGGGGTCTTAGGGTGCTTACAGGCTAGAGGGGAGGATTGTGCCCTTCTGGACACCACAGGCATAAGTGGCATTGCCTGGACAAACCAGAGGTCCTTTCACTTGGCTCTTGCAGCCACTGCCCATGTGGCCAGGCCCCAGGAAGCAGTTGTGCCCTGGCAGTGGGGTGCCCCCAAAGGCTACTGCCCAATCCCTGGCTGCTCCCTCCAACATGGGGAGGGGGAGGGGGAGGAGGTGGGGGGCACAAGGAAACAAGACAGGGCAGGAAGCCCAGGCAGGCGGCGGGCACTCTGGGCCAGGCACAAACAGCCAACACAGGAAACCACAGCCCACCCCCGCCCACCCCACCCGCCCAAAGCTCTGGGAGAAAGGAGTGCCAAAAGCCTGGTGCCCCAGCAGGGGCGAGGGCCAGGGGTTAGCCCGGGGCAAGGGAGGGGCAAGAAGCTCTCCAGCCCTCTCTCGGTCCCAGACCCTACCTGGGGTGGGGGAGAGGAAGCCAGGCTGGCAGGGATGGTGCTGCCTCTTTAAATCCACCGAAATCCTGAGCTAGGCCCAACCCAGCTCTGGTTTCACAGGAAGGAAAGGAGCTCAGGAGCCAGTAGGGCAGGCGGTGGTGGCTGGAATTAGCCCCACCGGCCCAAATATATCTGGTCTCCACCTGCCACCCTACTGGCACTTCCTGCCCCCTGGCACCTGCACCACCATGGGGGTAGGAGAGGGTCTAGGGGTGACTCCTTACTGGGCAGGATACCCCAGTCTCTCGGAGATGCCCCATTGTTGCTGGGTACACGTGGTAGGAGGTGATGATGTCCCAAGCCCGGATTCTCAGAGGCAGGAATGGACAGGGTAGCTCCCTGTGGGCCCTCACCTGGCTTCTGTCCTCCAAGGGGTTAATCTGGCCCTTTTTTGGGGGGGGGATTAGGGGTGGCCTAGGAACCTCCTCCAAACTGCCTGGCGGCCAGGAACAATGGGGCCATTGTGGGAGGAGTGGAGTGCGGGCAGACTGCTGGCACGGGCTACGCACCACGGGGCGGGACCTCACCCAACGCCCGCCTGCCCGCTGAGCCACTCTCTCCCCCAGGTACTGCCAGCGTCAGAGACATCCTTCCCAGCCCCCTCACCTCGCCGGCCTGGCCCAAACTCTTGGCACCAGCAGCACCTGGAGGGCCCTCAAGCTCTGCCCACGTTGACATCCAGACTGCCATGACCCTACAGGAAGCAGGGGCATGTGGGCCAGGACAGGGTGGGGGTAGGGGCTGACGAGACAGGATGTGTGCCTGTGATCCTCCTGCAGGGAAGACAGGAAAGCCAAATGGGGTTTCTGGTGTCAGTCCTGGCACCCTCAGGCAAGAAGGGCTTAGGGGATTGTGAGAGCAGTGACAGGCAGGGTCCCCTGCCCCCAGTCCTCCATTCCCACACTCATTCCATAAACCTGCTCCCTGAGGAGGCCCAGTCCCAGCAGCCTCGCCCTCTGGGACCCTGGCAGGCAGTGTGAGTGATGCAGGGGAATGAGAACTGGGTTTGCAGTCAGGCAGACAGGGTACCAATCACATCCCACCCCTTCTGAGCGACGCGACCTGGTCCATCCCTTCAGCGCGCTAAGCCTCAGTTTCCTCATCCACAAAATGAAGATATATTTATAGAGTGAGATCCTGATAGTGAAACTGTCCTCCAGCTATGACATGCTCAGCCCTCAACAAACCACCTCTGGCCGTGATGTCACCTTCCTTACCACCTGCATGGCAGTCAAATACATGGGTGTTTGGTAAAGATAGGCACTGTCCAGATATTTGCCCTTGTGTATCCAAGGGAACAGGGACCGTAGGCATCATCTCAGTGATACCAAGTACAAAGACTCGGCTCTTCCTCTGTCTTCACAGAGGCCAGCTCCCTCGGCTCGCACTCCCCTGGGTATCACTGGGATTATGACATACACTCAAACGCAGAGCATGAACCCAGAGAGCAGTTATCCACCCTCTTAGCCTCCGGGCTGTCTCAAAACCCCAAGAGACAAGCAAAGGGGAGCTTCCTTTCAACAGTGGCCTGCATCCTCTCCGCCAGCCACCTCTCCCAGCCCCGGCCCTTGGCAGTCTTCCTGCAGGGTCTGGGCTGGGAGAAAGCTGGAGTCTACTTTCTGTCATGAACTTCTTTCAAGAGTGGTGGGTCTGAGAAAGAAAAGCAACAGAGCAACAGGGACGTGCTGTTTTGGAAGCAGAGGTCAGGGAGAAGACCTGTCCTCTTCTCAACCAGAGAGGGCTGTCCCTCTCAGGGTGGCTCCACAGCCCCCAAAGGGTTAACAAGGCCCTAAAAATAACCTGCTCCCAGCAGGACCCACTGATTGGAACCCTTCAGCCATCTGTTCCCATTTTCTCCTGCTCACATTGGAACATCTGAAACCAGCCCCAGAGCCCCAGCCCAGTCCCAAAAATAGCCCCAGCCTGCCCAAGGAACAGGCCCCAGGGGCTGGGCACAGGCAGCATGGCTAGCCCAACAGTGAGACATGGCCCAGGCCAACACTGAGCCCTCACTTCCAGGCCCATGGAAGGGAGGTGTCCTCTCTGGTCCCAGAAAGAGCTGGTGAGTAGAGCCGGGGGCCCCAGCCCACCCTTCTTGGTACCAGGCCAGAGAAGGTACCTGTTAGCCAGTCCCAGGTCTCAGACCCAGGAGCTCTGGTCTCCCAGGCACTTTGGCCACATCTAAATCAACTTTCTCCAAAGATTTGGATACTCACTCCCAAAAGATCCAAACCACTTGTCTGCAGAGCTTCCCTCCCTTGGGCATTCCACCCCTGCTGCCCACTCCTGGGCTCCCCACCCAGAATTTCCCAAGCCTTGGCCCCTCCATCATCCCACTCCCAGCCCAGGGTCTTTAGGAGCCTTGCTCACCCGAAGTTACTCAACATTCTCCCCTGGCCTGCCCCAGGGCACACAGAGTGGAAACAAAGCTTTCCCCAGCCCTGCTCACACTCACCCATGCAGCAGAGGAAAGGATTCTGGGGATGTCCTCTGGATGCAGTGGATGCTGATATGACCCCACCCCTCCTCTGGACTTCAGGATGTCTCCTTCCTGCCCATCTGTGTGCAGCAGGTGCCAGGCGTGCCCATCTGGGCTTCTATACATATCACAGGCCTGGGCCCTGCCCTGCCACACTCAGGGAAAATGCCCAGGCAGGGTCCACGGAATCCAGGGAACCCCAGGCCCCAAGGCAGACCTAACAGCTGTTATCCATGTCACAGCTCCACATTGCCACTTTTCTCCCCAAGGAAGGTCCCTGACCCCTTGGCCAGGAAAGAAAGGAGGCGGCCATTTATGCCATTTAAGGACAGAGTGTCTTAATGATTGTTCATACTGGTGCAGGAACAGAGCAGCAGGGGATGGAATAGTGGGAGGGGTGCTGAAGCTGATCTGAGCTAATAGTCTCAGGGAAGGAGGGCTCAGCCCTGAGAAGTGCTGGGAGATGGGGATGGAGACAGGCCCTCAGTCCTTAGACCCCTCTCCAGGTCCACAGCTATTTGACAAACTTTCAATCAAGATGTCAGCCAGGCCCAACAGTGGGGAAAATAAGGCAGCAAGAAGATAAGTCTGGAAAGGGTATCTCTTCCTCACCTCCCACACTCCTCCACCCACTTCAACTCTTCCCCTGCTAAAGCCCCTGGGAGTGGCATGAGTTCCTGTGAAGAGCTATGACTAATAATAATGGGAGGATCTCTAATATTTATTGAGCATTTGCTCTGTAACATCACGCTGTCCTGAAAGCTCCACATGCATCATCTAATTTAACCCTCAGAACAACTGTACAAGAATGTACTCTTATTATCCCGCCTTTAGAGATAAGAAAACTGAGGCACAGGGAAGTTAAGTAACGTGCCTAAGGCACACAGTTCAGAAGTAGTAGAATCAGAATCTGAACCCAGACACTCCAGCAATTGGGCTCTTAACCATTTCATAATACAAGTTCACCCTGGTATCAGCCCTCTGTGACGAAAGAATGGATGCCTCACTCCCTCATCCCACACATTCCCTCCAAGCCCAATGAGCACTAGGTCCTAGCTAGAGGCCACAGTTCCTGCCCAGGGAAGAGATCAAAGAAAGGCCATTACTCCCCAACCCCTTGACACAGGTGCAAGGCCCGCTGGTGCTCTGAGAGCAAAGTTATTGGGCAGCCCCAGCCCCACCCACCCCCCATCCGTTACATCTTCACCCACCTGGTCCCTAAGAGTCTGGAGAGGGAGCAAGGCAAGTTACCATGACAACAGTACAGGCCCCTGCTGAGAGAGGCCCAGAGGCCTGAGAGGAGTCTGTGGCCCCTCCCACTCTGCAAGTGGGGGTCAAAGGTCAAGTGGGACTCCCCAGTGAGTGTGGAGTCCCTGCCCCCCTACCTGCTCAGCCACACCTGTCACTGTCCCCCACTTTTTTCATCGCCTGAGTTGGAAGTAGAACCACTTCCTCCCCATCCCAGAGGGGTAGTGGCCTCCAGCAGGGAGGGTGGAGGGATTAGACGCTCCTCCCTCCTGAGGACAGTCTAGGAGAAGTGCCTCCTCCCAGTCCTCCACTTTCTCCGGCTTTCCCTAGTCAGACCAGGAGCCTAGAGGCGTGTTTGTTGTGAATTCAGGGAGTTGTTGCTAAGTAAGGAAGGAGGGGAGGGAGGGAAGGAGGGATGGGGGTGGCAGTAGGGAGAAAGCATGCGAATGTGTGCGTGCGTGCGTGCGTGCGTGTGTGTGTGTGTGTGTGTGTGTGCGTGTGTGTGTGTGTGTGTGTGTCTAGGGGCCAGGGCAGAAACCACATTACCATGGCTGGTAGCCACCCTGGCTTTGACTCAGCCAGCTGAGGCCAAAGCCAGCGGGCGAGGGGGAGCAAGCAGTGGGGATGACCAGGAAGGAAACCGTACCTTGCCCTCCAGGGGTGACTGGACTGGGGCTCCCCAGCTCCCAGCCCGGCTGGGACTTTCACTGGAGCTTTATCAGGCGCTTTAACCCTTCCTGCCCTGGCCCCGCCCCCTTCCCCTACCGGGTTCCAGGTTGTAGGCTGTCAGCGCCCCCTCCTCTAGGGGGAGGAGAATGAAAGGAGAAGTGGGGGCAGAGAGCCAGGAGGAGGGCGCCCAAGACAAAAAGCCAAGCAGGAGGCTTCTGCAGAGGCAGTCAGAGCTGAGCGAGGCGGCTGTGAGGACACACAAGCACACAAACCTCTCACCTCAGGATAATGCGGGTCGGGCTCGGGCTGGAGGGTGTGATCTGGGATGGGGCTCCCTGTGGAGAGAGGGTCACAGCTAGAAGCCCCAGGCCAGCAATCTGTGCCCCTGTTCCTCCCATAACCCCAGCCGCACCCCCAACACGCACACCACTAAACATGGACACACAGACAGGGCCTGCAGCTCCAGGAAGTCCCTGAGCTACTTGGACACCAACCCCCCTCCACGACTTCTGTGGATTGGCTGGAAGCCAGGCCTGACCCAGCTGCCCCACCACACTGCTCCCCCTCCGTCCCCTGGAAGCAGGAAAGAAGGCACTGGAGATGCCTTAGAGCTCCCTCAGAGCTCGGCCCCACAGGGAGAGAACGGGGCAGATGACTCCCACGGCCCCCGCCTGAGGACCTGGGTGGAGGGATGGACAGGGAGGCCTGAGGACCCCAGCTTCCAGCACCAGCCACCCCGGGGTTATCCTATGTCAGGGAGAAGAATGGGGTGGGTCCTATGTCCCTGTGTGGTCTCCTTGGTGACACCCCCTGTCCCCTAGAGTCTGGGGACCAGGCCTGGGTGGGAGGGCCTAGGGTGAGAGAATCAGGCTTAGCAGTTTAGTAAGAGGGGGCTGGGTGAAGCTCCCACAGGCAGGCGGGAGGGAGGCTGGTGGCTGGGCTCAGTTTGTACTGGGGGTCAAAGGGGAGTTCTTTTCCGAAGAATTCTGGGAGAGACGCCAACTAGAGCAAGCTGCTAACCACCCCTCCCTCTCTCTCTCACTGCGCTGGTGGGGGGGGGAATGTCCCTGCCAACCAGACTTAACCCTCTCTAGCCTGTGCTGCTCCCAGGCCCCAGATGGGAGAGTTGAGGAGGGGACCTCCAGCCAAGCTTAATTTCCAGTTCTAGGGGGCAAGCACAGGGCGCCTGCCAGCACATGGTACCACATGACCCCATCTGGTACTGCCCTGCCCTACCGCCACCTGGGTGACTTTTCTGGGCTCATCTCCTGAAGGTGTCTGCAGTGACGTGTGTGTGCGTGTCTCAGAGACAGAGATTGAGAAACAAACTGAAAATTCCTTGCCAAGGTCCTCCCCCTGCTGGGTCACTGAGCACTGTACCAACCTGTGCCTCTACCCCTCCCTTCCTCCCACTGCATCCTGGGACCAGAGGCCCCTGGGGGTGGGGAGTGGGTAAAGCGACACCTCCCCACCTCCTGCTGCTGGCTCCATAGGCCCTTGGCTCTGACAAGCAGCCCCTGCCCCAGCCCTCTTTTTCGCTGATTTGCTACAAATGCTTCTAGAGGAAAGTATTCAATTATAGCCTGAGATCCCAGGATGAGAAATTGAGTCATAGTGAGGTATCAGGGGTTCCAGTGATCGCATCCCATGCAGGCATAAGTCTACTAATACCAATCTTGCTTTGGAAAAAAAAAAAAACTCCCTCATGACCCCTTCCGCACCAGCAACCTCTCCTCCTGTAGAAGGCTGTCTCACTGCAGAAGGAAGAAATAAGATTAGACATCAAGAAGCAAGAAGGACTTCCCAGGATCAAGGCTATGGTGGCAGCTGGCCCCAAGCCAAACACTTCATATTTCTGGGGTGGCACATCACACCCCCACCCCCGAATTCCAGGCCCCTCTGGCTTCTGCTCAGGCTGCAAATTTGAGTGTCTTCTCTTGTCTCGCTGTCTGCCCCTAGCTAGAGAAGTCAACTTTCCTGAACTTTAAATTAGCCACCAAGCTCCCAGGTCTAATGTGGCTGGTTGTTTCTTGCCTCCAATGAAGCAAATGATCCCAAGGGTACAGGGTGAAGTCCCCTTCCCCAGCCCTTTCTTTAGAGCACTGGGCCTCCTTGTGACAGCCCCCAGGACAAGAAAAGGGTGGACTGGTAGTGCTGGGATCCTCCAGGTGCTAGGTGTCCCTGAGGGGCAGAGGAAGAGAGCCCAGCCCTGGGGGCAGTTTATCCCCAGTGTTCCCCACTGTACCACTTTCTCTCCAAGGACCACAGACCTATCATAAGTCTTGGCCCCACTCCAGAAAACCTCCCTATCAGAGGACAGAGGACTCCATGTCCCAGGGAGCTCCGAGGAGACCTTCGCCTACACACCCCAGAAGCGGTTCTGAGGGAGGAGGAGAGAGGTAGGAACAGAAAGGGAGCGCAAAAGTGTGTGCAGACACACATGCAGTAAAGGGACACAACCCTGAGCACACACACTCCTCAAATGCTCCCAGACACATGCACCTGAGAGAAACAGACACATTTCCAAAGACAAACATCCAGGATACCTCTTTAAAATAACCCAAACTCCCCCAAAATGGCTCCTTAAGACACATAGAGGCTCCTATCCTGATAGAGAAGGCCCAGGAGAACCAGGAAACACAAAAGACATCCGCCAGTCAAACAGAACTGCCCACAGACAGAAGACAGACCCCCGCACACACACGGAGCAGTGTGCACATGGCCATGTGCTAGCACGCAAACTCACACACACACCCGGGCAATGCACAGCGTGAAGTCAGATTAGAGGACTAAACTCTGGGCTAGTGGGGAGGAGGGGAGTCAGAGTGGGGTGGAGAAGTACGCAGGGATTTCAAAACAATCCTAGTTTCGAAATGCTGGAAATGCTGGATTCAGGGCCATTCCCAGTTGAGGCTGGGGGGTGGAGAGTGAGGGGGGAGGGGAAGACAGGCCAGCATGGGGCCACAAGCCCATTGGAGGAAGGGCTTGGACAGAGGGCAGTCCCTGGGGAAGGGGGACTAGGCCAGACACCAAGGTTAGGAGGGGCAGGTGGCCCAGGGCCAAGCAGAGAGGGCCTGGGGTGGAAAGGAGGCAGAGGAGAGGCCTCTGAGTTAGCCACTGACTGGAGAAGTGGGAATAGGAGGGAGGCCGCCCTTCTCAGGACCAAGAGGAAGGGGAAAACTGCCTGGGCCCTTTCCCCTACCCACGGGCAGCAGCGAAGATGGCCACTTTCTCCCCTGGAGTGGCAGGCTGGCTCCCCTTCCCCAGCGGCTAGCAGAGCCCCAAGGCGGGCCTAGAGCTCAGCAGTCAGAGAGTGTGGGAGGACAGCGAGGGCTTGCAGGGGTCAGGGACCTTCCACGGGACCCAGGAGCACCCCCCCTCCCAGCAGCCCGCAGTCAGGGCAGAGTGTAGGACATCTCCCTGGGAACCCAGGGCTTCCCACCTCTCCATGAGGGTGGGGGTGCCCGCAAGGAGGCTCAGGCAATACAGCATACCCCCACACCCAGGAGGTCACCCCTCTCCTCCCAGGGCAGCAGAGTGTCCTTACTGCCCCC